CATAAAAAATGATTAAATAGGGGCTGGGAAGATGGCTTAGTGGTAGAGTGCTTGCCTCACATGCGTGAGGCCCAGGGTTCAATTCTTCAGTACCACGTAAACAGAAAAAGCCGGAAGTGGTGCTGTGGCTCAAGTGGTAGAGCACTAACTTTGAGCTGAGGAGCTGAGGGACAATGCTCCGACTAGAGTTTAAGCCCCACAAATGACCAAAAAAAAAAAAAAAAAGATTAAGTAGAGGATGAGTCATTATTCACTGAATGGGAGGTAACTGTTGTATTCTCTGTTTTACCACTGTTTATCAGTTCAAAATCATCTTAAAGTTTCGGTCATCCTAAAACACTATTTAAAACAATATAATACTTTTTAGTTGTAATCTTCACTGTCAAAACATAAACCAGCTTTGAGTACTTAGGATAACAAGCATAAATAGAAAACAAAAAGCCTGGCAAGGTCCCGGTGGCTCATGCCTGTAATATTAGCTTCAGGAGGCTGAGATCTGAGGATTGTGACTTGAAGCCAGCCTGAGCAAGAAACTCCTTTAACCACCAGAAAACCAGAAGTGGCATGTGGCTCAAAGGGGTAAAGCACTAATTTTAAACAGAAAAAGCTCAGAGACAGCACCCAGGCCCTGAGTTCAAAACTCATGACCAGCAAATAAATTAATTAATTAAAATAAAATAAACAAACAGCTTTTAAATAAATTCAATTTTACTATCATCAAAAGGTGGTAACTTGTAATAGACTAATTTCCAAAAGTGACTTCAAATATACTTATTAAAAACTGTGTAAATAACAACACAAAGTTAAAAAATCCTTCAAGTTTCCAACTTTTCATGTTGGCTTTAACCAAGAATTACTAGAGATCTTGACTATTAGGGAGCTTATTTTACTATTACTGCTTTCCCTGTGGGCAACTCTCTCAGTTTTACATTCCTGATTGTTCTACATTTTATATTTCACTTTGTTTTAAAATTTTTTAGTAAATAACTGATAATGCTACTAAGAATTAGGTTGATTTTCGTCAGTAAACAGGTTATGAATAGATGACTACTGTGATTGAGGTTCACTTAAAGTTCTGCATAAAAATGCATCCCACTATCAGATATCAAATTAGAGATGTATTTGATTGTTATGTATCATTTTTATGTAGATACTCTTGTGAGGAAACAGCCATCTCTGAAAAACAAGAATCTTCAAATGATGCACAGAATTAAGACCCAAGTCCATTTTTAGGAAAAAGTATAAAAGTGTATCTGTATAGCAAAAATGCTAAAAAGAATTATGCCAATCAAGTTTTTTTTAATAAAGCATAAGTTGCATTCTTCAACAAATTATTCAAAAATTATTCAAAAAATTATTCAAATTATTCAAACCAATATTTACAGGATACAATTTTAGACCACAGGTGCTTTGTCCCATGACACATTGAAGTGAACATCAATTATATCTGCACACAGGAAATTTCTCTTCATTCTACTCTCATGCAGTGCATGCAACTAAATAGTTTGTGAAGAGCAACCTGCTTTACAATGCTTAACGTTTAAACAGTTCAGTAAGTTCAAAGGAAGTATTAACTGTTAATAGGAGAGGTGGTTAGCTGTGGAAAGAGGACCTGGCAAACCCATTATAAAAAAAAACAGTGAAGGAACATACTGAATTACCTCATTATTCTATCACCTATTGTTGTTCCTCTGATATTAAATCTAGTGAAGGGAACACAATAACTAAAGTCACTCACAAAAATTTCAAAGAACCAAATATTAAAGCATTAAGGTTATCACTGCTATAAAAAAATCACCTCAACCTAAAAAAAATTTGTTTCCTTTTGTGGCTTAGGGCATTAAATGAGGAATGTCACTTGACTAAGCTAAAAGTATAAAAAAATTAAAGAAATAGAACCACTTACAGAAGGAAGATTAGAAGGAAGACACAGTTCTTAATCTCTCTTTTCAATAAATTAGAACCTAATACTGTAGAATAGAAATTTATCTTTTAGAATGTGGAGAAACACATTGATTTATTCTGAATACCATCCATTGGAACATTTACATTCTGTTCCTCAAGGCTGAGCTGCTCTTTGAGAAATAATAACTACAATCCTGAGCTGATTCATCTGTCTTAACCACAAGACTATATAACAAGCAAGCAAAGAGTATAGGGCTTTTAACTCCCTAAGATCCCAGCTCTTCTTCTTTATTTTTTTCTGTATGTCTCTGATAAAGAGTAAACTGGAATCATTAAAAATATAAAACAAGTGGTTGTAACAATGACTGAAGAAATGCTGGCAGACTTACAGCACTAAAGAATTTGGGATTTAAAATTAATGTCCATCTCTCAGAGTCCAGAATGGATGCATGAATCCAAATTTGTATGCAAAATTACACAACTTTAAAAGAAGTGATTAAAAAGCTCATGAGATTAATATCTGTAATCTTTAGGGAAAACAAGCATTAAGATAACTTAACTGAGGTCAGAACCATTGAATATTAAGCATTTCTTCACAAACCTTCATTTAAGTGTCTTTTCCAGAGCAATTCTGTTTTTTTTCTTGGACTTATGAAAAGAAGAGCTAGCAGCCAGGCCATTATATCATTCATTGAATCATGATGGCTTGGAACTGAGAAGGAGTTTATATGAAGCTGACCTTTTAAATTAAAATCTAGCCAAACTTCATCATTCCCAGAGCACATTTTTGTTTGTGCTCTAGTACATAAAATTAGTACAAAATACACATGCTAATTTTACTGATGTTTTAACACCATGATTAGAGAGAATATATCTTCTTGTTTATCTTTTTCAATTTATTTTCCATTTAATGATTTATGTTCTCCTAGACAAAATGAAAGGGCACTCAAATATATGCTGATTCATATCCATTTAAAGTTGGGATTTCTGCCAAGTAGATCACTTTTTAATAGACGATAGCTTGATTTTTCTCACAACAGAGCAAGGATCAGCAAACTTACTTTTAGGCTAAATTTAGGTCAACTTTTTGAAATGTCCTTTAAACTATAGATTTTACACTTTTAAATGGTTACATCGGAACCTGTTACCTACCTACCTCTACTTACCTATTGTCTAGCAAAGTCTAAAATATTTATTTATTATCTGTCTCTTAATGAAAAAAAATTTAGTGACTTCTGCTATAGAGTCCAGTTATATTTACATAGACTTGCTAAGTTAATTAGAAGAGCATTCCACTTAAAAATATCTATGTTAGTTGTTAAGGCCTTTAATTTCTAAGCCATTTCCTTTTCATGCTTGATCTCAGGCCAAAAGTGAAAATCTGGGTCATGTTTGCCTAACTAAATTGTAAGAATGCAAATATTTTAAAAAATATTATCACTGTACAATTCAAGGAACTCTTTTGATATTTTAAATTAAGTGTATGTCCAAATTAGCTATAAAAAGCTTTAAAAATTTTTCAAAATAAAATTTAGAAAAATTGAAATTAAATTTTAGTCAACAATTATGAGAACTGCTATGAGTTCCTCACATAAAGTACATATTTAGTAAACATATACTGTGACCATACTTAACTTTGGGGTCCATTTCTCTACCTATCTAAACTAAATTGTTTTTTTAAAGGGCTTCAAGACCCTGCTTTGGTGCAACAGACAGCACACTGGATTTAGCTTGAGCCTGGAGTGGCCAAATGGTAGCAAGAAAGCACTCCAAACACATGCACACATTTAGCTGGGCACTTCATTGTTATGTGAAATTTATCTTATACCACAAGAACTAAATGTTCTAATTTTTACAATATAGCTTCAGAACCCTTAGCCTCTTCAGATACGTAAGTGCTCCAAAACCATATTGCTAATTTATAAGCTGGCATATGACTTTTCTGCTTTAAATAGCATGAAAGACAGTGTCTTCAACAAATTATTTTATTTCTACAATTCTAAGAATTATATTATTCTGGACTACTCAATAAATTTACTACTAAGTCTTATAAAAAAAGATAATATGAAAGATATATTATTTGGGAGGGGGGTGGCATGGAGGGCAAGATCTCTAAACTGCCTAGCTTGGCCTCAACCTTAAATCCTCTAACCTCACTAGCAGTTGAGATTACAAGCAAGAACCATTGTTCCTGGATGAGCTGATATTATTTGTTTGTTTGTTTTTGATGTCGGTTGGTCCTGGGGCTTGTAGGACCTAGGTGCTATCCCAAGCTTTTTTGCTCAAGTTTTGAATTTTGATCCTCTAATCTCAGCCTCCTTAGTAGTTAGGACTACAGGCCTGGGCCACTGGCATCTTGCTATTAATTGTTTTCTAAATCTAGGTAGCCACATAGACATATATTGGTTGTTTAATATAGCTATCATCCAGTGATTGAATAAATTTTTATTGTTATTATAAAGGTACTATTACAGTTACCAAAGTCAGATAATGAGTACATCTCTTTTTGGATATTGTTATCTCTTGCTTTCTCCCAGTTTTTCCCTTCTATGATTGATTTTTAATTCTTAATAATTTTAGACAACCACATCCCCATTTCAAAGGTAAGAAAATTGAGCATTTGGGAGTCATTAAGTATGGTATATGAAAAAATATTACTAGTAAGTGGTTAGACCTAGATTCACACCTAAGCTATTATGCTCTTGACTATTATATAAAATTGGTGTACTAAATGACAAATTAATCCTTACAGTCAATAAAAATGTCAACATAAATTTGATATCAGAAATATCAACTTAATATTTTAAAATATCAGTATATTCAACATTTTAATCTCCTAAATCATTCAACATTCCTCTCAATCTGTTCATTTAGAGCAAGCTCCAGTGCCAGAAATATTGAACAAAGACTTATTCCCCTCTTATCACAGTTTGCTCTAAGAATATGATATTGTGAAGCAATTTAGTTAAAAAAAATTCTGTGGGTTTATGACTGATATAATTTTAAAAGAAGTAAATGATGCAAACAATGTGACTTCAAAGAGAACCTTATGAAATACATATTTTAAAATCTACATTATTTAAAAGTTTACCAACCTATCACCAGGTGCTGTTCGATACCTTGCACCTGGGATCAGGACAGGGTCATCATCACTGTCATCTGTGTCCTGCAGAGCAGAGTCCCTGGGTGATGTTTCTTCGTGAGCTAAAGGCTCAATGGCTTCTGTTTGGGACAGGGGTTCTGGGTTGGTGTTAGTTTGACTGGTAGCACTTTCACTAATAGTCTGATCTGAAGTTTCTGGTTCTTTGCTCTTCTCAGAAAAAGTAGATTCTTCTGGAACCACACTTGGGCTATCAAGACTGAGGTCATTCTTTTCTCCTGAGTTGGAATTCAATGGCTCAACTGTTAAGTTACCTAATTGTGCTGTCAAAAAAAAAATAGTATGTAACAGGTGGTCAGATGTACAATATTAATTACTTAATCTAACTTAGGAGCTGACAGACATTTTCTAATATTAATTCTAATTCCCTTATAAGGAGAGAAAAATTCGAATATATCTGTTTGGAAGTGGCCTCTAATCCTGGACATGCATACATGGACTCAGTATGTTTATTTACCATATGAAACAATTTTCCAAAGAGATCAAGACAACTTACCTATATCTGTATGGCTCTCAACTAGGTTTTCTGCAGATGTTCCTTCCTGACATTTTATTACATCCTCTGATGAGTCTTCAGGAGCCCCTGAAAACAGAACAAATTATCATTAAAACTACTATTTTAGAAAAATAAATACAAACTTAACAATTTGCCTATTGGTGTTTTTTTTTTAGAAAAAAAAAAAAACTCTGGGTTTTAAAACCCATTGATAGGGGCTGGGAAAGTGGCTCAGTGGTAGAGCACTTGCCTTGCATGCCTGAGGCCCTGGGTTCGATTCCTCAGCACCACATAAGCAAAAAGAAAAAAGCCGGAAGTGGCGCTATGGCTCAAGTGGTAGAGCACTAGCTTTGAGCTGAAGAGCTGGGGGACAGCACCCAGGCCCAGAGTTTAGGCCTCACAACTCGACCCAAAAAAAAAAAAACAAAACAAAAAAAACAAAAACATTGATATTCCAGTGAAATCTCACCCAGGCACAATACAACTATGTATCAACATACAAAATTATACAAACAGCAATAAATTGTCTCCTGCCACTGGAAAGGCCTTCAGCTTTATATACCCTATGGGCAGAATTTCTACTTCAGATTATCCCTAACACATGGCTTAATATTGCATTTTCCTCCCCATAGTCTAGCTTAAAACAGAATATTTTTCCATGGTCTTATCATGCACAGAATTACAATTTGAACTATTATGTTTTACACGTTTTGTTTTTGTCAGTCATGAGGCCTGAACTCTGGGCCTGGGCACTGTCCCTCAGCTCTTCAGCTTAAGGTAAGCGCTCTACCACTTGAGCCAGAGCACTTCTGGTTTTCTGGTAGTTTATTGGAGATAAGAGTCTCACAGACTTTCCTGCCTGGACTGACTCTGAACCATGATCCTCAGATCTCAGCCTTTTGAGTAGTTAGAATTACAGGCGTGAGCCACTGGCATCCAGCAATTTGAACTATTATGAACATATGAACATATAATAAATCTTACCCTACCATAAATTCTTTTTGGCCACTAAAAATATTAAACTGAAAGACGAATGGAAGATCAATATTTTAAAATTTTTTACTTTTGTTTCTTAATTGGACACATGCTTATTAGTTACTGAACAACAAATTTAATTCTAAATTCTGTTATTCTGATATATCTGTTCATTTAATAAGAGATGGACTTTTATCTGTTCATTTCTCAAGCATTTATTAAATATCTACTCTGTGTCACTGTTCTAGACACTAGTTAACTGATTATTGATCAGGTAAAAATATTTAATAAAGGGATCCCTAAGTGGTACTGTATATATACAGAATCATTCATAACGTGTTTAGATTTTATTCATTTTGTTTCCTTCCTGTATTCTGTAGAATCAAGACAGATACTATGGATTTCACTGCTGCATGCAAGGAAAGCTTAAATTAATATTTGCATCGCACACACTTAAAAGTATGATGATTACCTATTTTGGTACTTGTGTGTACAGATAGGATTGTGCTTTATTATATCTCCCTATCTTAATTTCTTAAGGTCTCTACCTTTTGCATGTGCTATTTATCAATGTAGTAACTAGACTAATGGGCTAAAAGTGACTTATTTAAATTAAGAAACAGCTGGACTCCAGGGGCTCATACCTGTAAATCCTAGCTACTAAGAAGGCTGAGATCTGACTATCACAATTTGAAGCCAACCTTAGACTCTTATCTCCAATAAGCCACACACACACACACACACACACACACAGAGCAACCCCCCCCCCCCCCCTCCTGCTACACACAGAGCAAGCCAGAAGTGGAGCTGTGGCTCAAATGGTAGAGCTCTATCCCTAAGCTTTTAAAGAAGTTCAGGAGCAGTGCCTAGGCCCTGAGTACGAGCCCAGGACCACAAAAACAAAACAAAACAAAACAAAACAACCCCAAACTAAGAAATAAAAGAACAGAATTGGGGGAATAAAAAATAGGTGTTTTATAAGGAGAAAAACAAGTTAACACCTTACTTGTTTCATGATCTCCTTCTGGTGGTTGGACTGAATGCTGTGGCATCAAAGATTCTTCTTGATCATCAGATTTGCAATGGCTCCCACTTCCTCTAGAAGATGAGGCTGTACTGCTCCTAATATCAGAACAAGATAAGTGGTTCCACCACAAACTTAATGAATACGAACTTTTAGGGTAATTTTTATATTTTACAACTAAAGCAGTAGAAAATTCTGAATAAAATAGAAGTTTTATTATTATTATTATGGTGCTGGTGCTGATCCTGGTCCTTGAACTGTTCTCTTTTTTTTTTGCTCAGGTCAACATTCTACCATTTGAGCCACTGCTCCATTTCACGCTTTTCTTGTGGTTAATTGGAGATAAGAGTTTCATGGACTTTTCTGCCTGGGATGGCTTCAAATGGAGAGCCTCAAATCAGAGCCCCCTGTGTACCAAGGATTACAAGCATGAGCCACAGGTGCTGGCAATTTTTTTAAAAATTTACATAGTACTTTCAAATAGCATTTTAATAATCAGGAGATTCTAACATTTTAAAAGATTTGAAAATATGAAAGGACTACTTGTCCATTGTTTTGATGTTTCTGTGACCTACTAAGTATTTCAACATCATGGCAATTCTACATGTTCATACGTGTGTGTGTGTGTGCACATGCTATTAGACTCAGGGCTTGCCTCATGCATGCTAAATGTGCACTTTTCACTGAGATATACATCCGGTCTCTATTATCTATTGATTTCTAGGTGAATTCTATTAACTGCCTCCTTTCTTGGCTAAAGATGGATGACCATAACTGGACAAACCCCAAATATTTTCACAGACTTGGATCACATATGTTTAGACTGTTGTTCCATGCTACATGAAATTAATACTTGAAAGGAAATCTGGTCACGTTTCTTTGAACAGCCAAAGAAACCAAAGGAGAGAAATTCTAGTTAAGACTTGTACACCTATAGTATATTATTATGGTTTTGTAGAAAGGATGACATCTTTTGTTTTAGTTTTAATGAGCAACTGCTGATGATGGTCACATAGTTCCATTAACATTTTTCACTATAGCAGAATACTAAGCTAATTTAGATAATTTTCAGTGAATATTCTATAACAAATCATGGTAAATGTTTAAGGAAAAGACTGAGAAAGAAGAAAATATGTATCAATCTAGGATAAAATTAAATTCAGAGAAATGAAGTAATTCCCTGACTTTGAAATAACTATGAACAAGAAGAAATTCAGGAGATACAATAACTTACAGACCATTAATTATAGGCAAACAATAATGTTATGAAACAATAGTCATAAAACTGATGCAAATAAAGTTTTCGCAAAGATTTTAAAAATGCCTTTTAAAGCAAACTGGAAAAGTCAATTTGATCTTTTTTAAAGCATACACATAAAATATGGTATTATTTTAAATATAATATATATATATATATATATATATTTACATGGGTATACATGCACAGAAAAAAATCACCAGTGTTACATGTCATCTCAATACAATTATTTAAGGGAAATTTTTTATGCTTAATTTTTTGCAATGAATATGTATTTCTTTTTATTCAGAAGGACACATAACCATTTTCATAAAGAAAAGCCAATGTTACATGGAAAAATTTCCCATTGAGAAAATATGATACAGGCATGAACAAAACGTTTTATTGTAAAAAAGTTTTACTGTAGAAAAGTTACAATAATGGAACTGGTAAAGGGATAAACAGACATTAATGAAAAAAGACACACTATCCAAGTAAGTACAATTAGTACAGTTAATGTCGCACTTTAAATCACAGAGAAATGAAACAATCATCAATGAATGGAACAAAGAACATCCATGTAGAAAAGTGAATGCTATAGTCCTATATCATACTTTATGGATAAATTCCAGGTTTATTAACGAGATGATATTTTAAATAAAACTACAATAAACACGAGAAAGTAAAAAAGCAAAAACAAAACTTTCCCTGATTCCAAAAGGACTAAATTTTTCTAAGCATGAGACCACACAGAAACCATGAAGCAAAGTCATTACCACAAGTAAAGGAAAAAACATCAGACTTGGAAAAATACATAATAATAATAAATATTTTTATTTAATTCTGGAAATAAACACCATTGTGGAAAATGGGTGCAGAGCACGTAAAAGGCAATTTGGAAAGGATGATCATTAAAGCTAACACTGATTTAGGGCTTATCATGCACCAGCCAATATGCTAAAAAAAACTTTTTCTGCATGATTGCATTAAATCTACAAAATAATACTTTGGAACAGGTTCTATTAAATAAGCCTGATCAAGGCTGAAAGTAGATTTAGAGAGGCTCCACAATCTGTCATACTCATATTCATAGTATAAGACTATAACACATTCTATTGCCTCATCTCTCATTAAGAAACTAAAATAAAAGCAAGACATAAAATTGTAACAAACACTTAATACCATTTTTGAATGCTGTATTTTGTTTGCTTTTTAACATGAACTAGTAGATGTTTTCATAATAAAGAAAATGGCAATTACATTTCTGCCATAGAAACAGGAAAAAAATAAATGAAAGAACATTATTTATGGTCAGACTTTAGACAAGGACACTAGCATTCAAAAGAAGAATTAGACCAATAAGTTTTCTTTAAAATGTTCTTCATAAGAAGCCAGTTTGTTTTGTATAGTAACATGGGAAAGATAAGAAGTAAATGAGAAATATGACAATCTGTGTCATCTTTCATCATTAATGAACAGGGCTATAGATACCATGTTAAGGTATGGTAAATGTTAAGGTCCAACTTTAAAGGTCAAAAAGAAATCCTATTGGCCACACCTTCAAATAAATATCTAGAATCCAATAATTTTTACTTCCTTTACATTTCTCATCCTGGCCCAAACCACTACTACTATGTCTCACTTTACTTGTCACATACCTTTTATTTTTACTATTTTTTATTTTTTTGGGTCTGGTGGTGGGGCCTGAACTCTGGGCCTGGGCGCTGTCCCTCAGCTCTTCAGCTCAAGGCTAGCGCTCTACCACTTGAGCCACAGTGCCACTTCCGGCTTTTTTCTTTTTGCTTATGTGGTGCTGAGGAATCAAACCCAGGGCCTCAGGCATGCAAGGCAAGCACTCTACCACTGAGCCACCTTCCCAGCCCTCACATACCTTTTAACACAAGAACCTAAGTATTTTTTATTCTTTTAAATATCCTCACTTTTCCAGCTGATCTTATCTGCTTCAGCTAGCATGGTCTTTTTTTGTATGTGTGTGCCAGTCCTGAGCACTGTCCCTGAGCCAGCCAGCCTTCCCTCCTTCCTTCCTTCTTTCCTTTCCCTTCCTTCTTTCCTTTCTCTCCCTCCCTTTCTCCCATCCTTCCTTCCTCCCTTCTTTCCTTTCCCTCCTTCCCTCCCTTCCTTCTTTCCTTCCTTCCTTTCCTTCCTTCTTTCCTTTCCTTCCTTCCTTCCTTCCCTCCTTTCCCCCTGTCCCTTTCTTTCTTTTTCTTCTCTGTTCAAGGCTAGCACTCTATCAGTTGAGAAACAGCTCCACTTCTAGCTTTTATTGTAGGTATGTCTCATGGATTGTCTTTCCTGGGCTGACTTCAAATCCCAGTCCTCAGATCTCAGCCTCCTGAGTAGCTAAGATTACAGCCACCAGTACCACCAGTGTTCTCTAAAGATCCCTAGGGCTGCTTCTGTTTCAGTCTTTGTACTGGCCTCACCTCTGCCTGGAATTCTTTTCTACATATATTTTTGCAAAAATGTCAACTTTTCACTGAGGCTTGCCCCATTCCTTACATTACTTAATCATCCCTACCTGCTTTTCAATAGTACTTAGTACCTTTTTTTTTTTACTTAGTACCTTTTAATATGCTATACAGTATGTTTATTATGTTTATGGTCTGCCTCTACCAAGAACATAAGCTCCAGCAGGGCAGAAAAATTCTGTATCTTTTGAACTGATACATTTCCAATATTTAGACTAGTCCCTGAAATATAGAAGGCATTCAATAATATTTGAAATTGTACTTATCAAAGATTTTAATATATGCCATTTAAACATAAGCACAAATGAGAACCAGTGAACTGAATAATCATACAATAGCATAATAACATATTAATAAATAATATATAACTTTTTTTGTCAGTTGTGGGGCCCGAACTCTGGGCCTGGGCACTATCTCTCAGCTCTTCAGCTCAAAGCTAACGCTCTACCACTTGAGCCACAGCGCTACTTCCGGCTTTTTTTCTAGTTATGTAGTGCTGAGGAATCGAACCCAGGGCCTCATGCATGCAAGGCAAGCACTCTACCACTGAGCCACCTTCCCAGCCCCTATAGCATATTATTTATATAACAGTTCACATGTAATAATATATTAATATACCATAAAGTATACTGGTATATTAATTACAGGTAATTGCAATGGGTTATAAAACAATTTATGTGATTACTATATATTAATCTATTATATAGTCATGTCAATAATTATGTAATACAATGTGGTCAATATATTAATTCATTAATATTTCACTACTTATAAATTTAAATACTTTCAATGTAGTATCTCAAAGGCCAGCAGACAGTGGGGAAAAGTGAGCTTATACAAACTAATTTTTTTTTTTTTAATTTTATTTTATTTGAGAACATACTGTACAGAGGGGTTACAATTACATGGGCAGGATAATGCATACATTTCTTACCAAGCATTGCAGCCTCCTCCTTTGTTTACCCTTCACCTCCCTTCCCAGCCTCCCCCCTCCCTCCCACCCAATCATACCCCCCCCCCCACCGACATTGTAAAGCTGGTTTTGACGTTTTGTTTACATGCAGTGAATTGATGTTTTTTACTGAACATAACTGTGATTACCATAGAATGAGACAGGTTTATTTAAATAACAACCCTCTACTTTGATGGGATTCAAACTCTTGATCTGATGCTTTCGCTCACTGGTTGATGTTCTATCACCTGAGCCATGCCTCCAACCCCATAAACTGATTTTTTAAACACATTTTTAGTTCTCTTACATCACTCAAGATTATATCACAGAAAAGTGAATGGGTAGCTATAGCTACTCAGGAGGTAAAGATCAGATGAATGGCAGTTTGAGGCTAGCTAGAGCAAAAAGGTAATAAGATCTCCATATTTCATCAAACAAACTGGGTATAGTGGTTTGTGCCTGTAATACTAGCTACATGGAGAATCATGGCTGGCCAGGCAAAAAACCCTGGTAAACCCCATTTAAAAAGGAAAAAAGGAAGGAAGGGAAAAAGAAAAGAGAAAAAACAAGAGAAATCTAAAAGCAAATAGGGCTACAGGGCATGGCTTAAGTGGTAGAGCACTAGTCTGGTAATCACCAAAACAAGAACAACAACAAAACCTCATATAAAAATTAAGCTAAGTGTCAGTAGCTTACTCCTGTAATCCTAGCTCCTCAGGAGGCTGTGATCTGAGGATGGTGATTGTGATTTGAAGCTAGCCCTGGCAGCAAAGTCTGTGATACATTAATTTCAATTAACTAGCAACATGCCAGAGTGGAGCTGTGGCACAAGTGGCAGAACACTAACCTTTAGCACAAAAGCTCAGGACATCTCCTAGGCTCTGAGTTTAAACCCCAGAGCTGGCACAAAAAGAAATAAAACAAATTAACTAGATTACTAAGGTTGAGATCATGTTTAAAAATCAGTTTAGGCAGACAAATCTGAGAGATTCCTATCTCCAATTAACCAGCAAAAATTCAGAAGTGGAGGTGTGGCTCAAATGGAAGTCCACTTGCCCTGAGAAAGGTAAGGGAGAGAATTCAGGACCCCAGGCCCAAGCCCTGCTACTAGTACGAAAACAAACATCAAACTCAACTAAAATACTAATGTATATAATCAGTATATAAAATTGAAAATGTCATTGAAGAGAACCTGTATAATCATTCAATATAAAAGTTCAAACTTACTAGTAAATTATATAAAATCAAAAACTTTCAAATCAAATATATATTGACCCAGAGACAGTAAAATGTATTATTTGTTCATATGCTAACATGTTATAAGGCAAAGAGCCTTTGAAAATAATTTAGCAATGCCATTTGATAGATATAGCTCACTTCTGGAAATATATCTCATATAAACAAACTTGAAAATATGATAGCTTTGTTGAAGACATTCATTCTAACTTTACTGGGGTGAAAAACGGTGAACAAATTCACTGTTCAATTAGAGGAAAATGGTTAAGTAAACCACAGTATAACTACTCGATGGACTAGCAAAAATTTCGGACAACTAACTAAAGTTAAATACATGAAGGAGAGAATAAAATATATTCATACACACAGAATGAAGCCCGCAAATTTTTAAAGAATTATCTGTAGGTGTTTATTGTTATCTTTTGTATTTTCTATCAGAGAAATATCCCACGATAAGTAGCATCAGGGATGTTTTTGCAAATACAAATTCTCAGACCCTATCCCAAGTCTAATTCTGAAAGTGGGTTCCATTAACATGTGATTTTTCAAGCTCTCCAAGCCATTTTGAAGCACACTATAGTCTAAGAACCAATGCAGTATAGCAAAACAAAACATAAAGATGATAGTGACAAAAACATACATCTAATATAATACTACAAAATGGCTAAGAACATCTTTACAAAAATATTAACTTACCATTCATCTGTAAAGTTCAGTTTTATTGTGCTTGTAGTTGTTCCTTCTGTGCTGTAGTGCAAACTTAAAACGGGTTCACCTGTCCCTGGTTTGGGACTCTGCTTTTCATTATTGTTATCTGAAAATTGTGTTTAAAACATTTGAAAAAGTCTCTGAAACCAATAAAATACGACATTTCCTAAAGTTATAAAACAAAATAGGTTGTCCTTGTCATAATTCTTTTTCATGTTCCAAGTAGTAGTATCAAATTCTAGATTTGTGTTTATGACTGAGTCAGAGGGAAATCAAATACGATGAGAACCATATTTGGTCATTAGGGAATCAAAGAATATTAACATGCAATGACATGCATTATAAACTGGCATCACTTAATGGAATTTTCTTGGTATTATTCTTTAGGAGCAAGAGCATCAAGAATGATTAACATTGGCTCCTTTAAGAGTATATATATTGATATAGTCACATGCAATATATGTGATAGATTATACATATTAAATCAATGCATAAAGTCAATGCATAAAAAATGTTTAAATGACAAGTAAAATCAATCAACTCTACAGAGATTAGTAGAGGTAATTCAAAATATCTCTCTCCAAATAGTACATGGAAATTCAAAGAAAAAAAATTACACAGGCTTTAGAAACATTTTACCTCATAAGGAAATACAGCTTTGATAAACAGTACAGAAGGTATACAAAATGGATACACAATCAAATGTGCGACTTTTCTGCTAGTTGCTTGCAGAAAAGAAAACTCTTCTGTCATATAATCATTTTCTTGACACCAGTTCCTGGAGTAATGTAGTAGAACTAAAAATAAGCTGCTTTTCTTTAAAAAATGAATTACAACATAATAAAATCAGTGTTTGTAAACACTGCTGGGGACAAAACCCAATATCTCAAACCTTCTAGGCAAGCACTACACATCTGCCAGTTCCCAAATGCAGGTTTTTCATTGTTAGTTCCACTTTATGTTGCAACTAAAAACATTCTTTCATTCTTCTTGAAGATGCTGGAGCATTTATTAAAAGAGACTCTCACAGAACCTCTGGCTCTAGCTTATTTGAACTACAATTTCAAATAAGGAACTATAAAAGAAAAGAAGAATTCTCCAACATTTGGAATTAAGCTTAGAAAACTCAGAACTATCTATTGTTAGGTCAAAAATTCTAATTCATGAGAAGTTCTTCCTGAAAAAGTTGCCATTTGAAAATAAATATGTGAATACATTGGCACATCAAATGATTAAAAACCCTTTATTCTGTACAACTTATGTTATGACTGTATCCTACATATAAACAGCTGTTAGAAAGTTAACATTACAACCTTCAAAGATTCAGTACTGTCTTCAGTTTTTTAAAGGAGGTATTTTACAAAATGGTATTCTAGTGAAGTAACAGATCTGTAGCTTAGATAAAAATTATGAAAAACAGAACATGGAAACATTTCTCCTACTCTTAACCATCTTCAAAAAACAAGTGATTGGTGCCAGCCCTGTGTCTAGTATACTCTTATCCCCTACTCTTTAGTTATATTGTAGAGATTTTTGTCCCACAGATGCCAAAGTAACTACTATTTTAAGGCCTCTGGAATTAGGTGCAGATGGGTAAGCCTTCAGGTGATTCAGGGAACTGAGAAGAGTTGAGGCTGGTGTGTTTTTTTGTTTTTTCATTTTTTGTCTTTCATAATAATCTTACCAAGTACTTTGCTACTTATTTTTCCTTCAAGATAAAGATGGGATGAAAGACAAAGGTGAGTATGAGGAATATGCAGAGCTGGATTTCTTAGCTCTACTTTGATTATAGAAACCAAAGTTATAAGAAGCTTTGTGAAACTGAAATGCTATATCCAAACATTTCATTTGAGGAATGCTAAAAAAGTTAAATTATAGATATTTACATGCAAATGACTACAAGAATAAACAAAAAAAGAGCTATTGAGAGATCAGAACCCCTATTTACATCCAAAAAACACTGAAATGATCAACAACAATTATTTTTTCTGAACAGCATCTCTTACAAAAATAATTTAATCTCCCATTTATGTAATCTATATATGGTAAATCACATAAAACAGAACATCATTTAATCATAAAATATCATACTTGGTAAAATTTGTTCATGTAAGCTGTCAATGAACTCATTAGCCTTTTGTGAAACTTCCATCAGTATAAAAATGGAATGGACGTTTCATTTGGTTAAGAAAACCTGAGTCTAATGATCACCTTTCAGCCTACACATAAACACATCTCTGGTAGAAACACTGCACATTACAGAGCCCAGTTTCTTCAACGTAAGTATTAATGGGAAAATATATCGAAGGCGTAGAATTCATTTTCTAGCTGCCTTCCCTTGTACTCTCCCTAGTTTAAACCTCATTTGCATGATTTTATACACCTTGTCAGGTTGAAATGTCATCAAATCAATGAATTCACCATGTTTGTAATGAAATGCGTATTTTAAGCTACAAATTTCTAGCAAAAAATCTACTCTAAATTTTTTAAGTTTTATTTTTAATTATCTAAAAATGACTGTAATTATTTAAATTTCCCTTATTTTATTTTAGATGTTTATATCAGCAAGCACAAAAGTTGTTTTATTTTAGCCTCATATAATACACAAATATATATAACTAAAATATATTGCTTTATAATGAGTACATTTTTATTTAAAAGCCCTAGGATACAAGCTGGGTATCAATGGCTCACTCCTCTAATCCTAACTACTTGGGAAACTGAGATTGGAGGATCACAGTTCAAAGCCAACCTGGACAGGAAAGTCTGAGACACTCATCTCCAATTAGCTACCAAAAGCCTGGAAATGGAGGCTCAAGTGTTAGAGTGCTAGCCTTGAGCACAAAAGCCAGTAGTTCAGTCCCCAGGTCCAGTACGTGGGCAGGGCAGGGAAGGGCAGGACAGGGTGGGGAGGTAGGAAGGAAGGAAAAAAAGTGAGAAGAAAAGGAAAGGAAAGGGAAGGGGAAGGTGAAGGAGGAAAGAGGAAAGGAAAGGAAAAGGAAAAGGAAAGGAGGGAAAGGAAATAGAGAAAGAAAAAGAAAGAGGGAAAGGAAGGGCTTAGCGTTCAGAGCTTCACCTAATCATACAAATAAATTAACGTAGAAAGCATCATCATAGCTGAAATTTATTAAGGTATACTATATAGCAATTATGTATGTGTGCATAGGTTTAAAAAATATAGTAGGTATCATCTTCATTTTCCAGATGATACTGAAGATGAGTTGGAATTTTTACATTAAGTTTTATTATAGCTTTGAATAATATAATCATTGTTTTTATTTAAAATTTACTTTCATACTTTTAAAAAATATTGATGAGTTTTTGAAAGCTAACCTCTGTTTATGAACCTTGATAAAATAAAAACAACTTGAGGGGTGAGAGGTCTATACCCTGTTAGGGCACATGTTTTGTAATGTTTGAAATCTGGGGTTCAAATCCTAGCACCAAAAAAAGAAAACAACAAAACTTGAAATAATAGCATACCTATAATATCAACTACTCACAGCATCTTTAGTGAAGATCTGCTTATTCCGTAAGTATGCTCAGTTTTGAAACTATAACCTCTCCCACACCAGACATTATCTTTTTTAAAACTTCATAGGCTTGCCAGGCGCTGGTGGCTCATGCCTGCAATCCTAGCTACTCAGGAGGCTGAGATCTGAGGATCACAGTTCAAAGCCAGCCTGGGCAGAAAAATCCGTGACATTCTTATCTCCAATTAACCACTAGAAAACTGGAAGTGGCGCTGTGGCTCAAGCAGTAGAGCAAGTAGAGCACTTGCATTGAGCTGAAGAGCTCAGGGATAGCGCCCAAGCCCAGAAGCCCAGAGTTCAAGCCCCATGACCAACCAAAACCAAAACCAAAACCAACAAGAACACAGGCTTTCTCATTTTCAATTTTTTTTGAAGGCTAAGTCAGAAATCAGTAATTTACTGAACAGGTAGCCAACAGGGGAAATAAAATTCATATATCTGGGGCTGGCTCAGTGTGGAGTGCTTGCCTCACATTCATAATGCCCTGGGTTCGATTCTCAGCACCACATAAACAGAAAAGGCTGGTAGTGGCACTGTGGCTCAAGTGGTAGAATGCTAGCCTTGAGCTGAAGAGCTGAGTAACAGCACTCAGGCCCACAGTTCAACCCCCATGATGACCCCCCCCCCAAAAAAATCATATACCTGAATGGCAGCCACAATAAAGTACATGAAAAAAAATAGATTAATGAAGTTTGGTTTCCCCTGCCTCCCCTGGATGCCTTTACTATTCACAAAGGCAGATACATACATTCTCTGCCTTGATTCATTTTCATGGAGGGTGACAGGCAACCAGCCTTTATTTTTCTGAGCTTCAGGAAGAGGACCACGTTAAAGCTGCAGCAAACTATACCTTAATCTTTATATTCTTAATTGATGTTAAGGAAAAATCCTCTAAATATCAATAGTCCATCTGTTTTTCAAATTTTTCTCCTCAATATATCATTGACTCTAACTTCTTTGTCTAAGCAATAAATAACCCACATATTGCCACATTCAAAAAACATTTCTCAGCCCTTTATATTTATACCATTGCTTTGCATGGTATTCCTGACTGAAGAGCCCCTCCTTGAACTTTTCTCCTGCCTTTGGATTTATTATTCTTTCTGTCTAAGCTACTCATTTTTTTGTCTCCTTAAATTCTTTTCTCTGCTTATACTCTTGTCACTTCATTCTTTTTTCCCAGACAATCTCATCCATTCCCACTTTTTTAACCGTCTATACATTGATGATTCCTAATCTCCATCTCAGACTACCTCCACTGGCTATCGAAAGGTAATGTGCTATGAATTGACTATGATTTGTCTCCACTTAGCTCCTCAATGCTGAGCTGCTGGGAGGAAGGCCTAATAAAAGGTGTTTAGATGGTGGGGAGAAAGCCCTCATGAATTAATTGTCAGCTTCAACAAGTGAGTTCTCTCTAAGGGAGACGGGAGGAGTTACCTCCAGAATCAAGTTTAGTTTCCATGGCTTTCTCTTGCTTCCTCCTCTATTGCCTTCTGATTTCCACATGCACTACTTACTCGGTATGCATGGAACAGGATGAGATCCTCATTACAAGTGAAGCAGATACCAGTGTCTTCCTACCTCTACCTCTAAACACACATAAACTACTTTCCTACTACTACACAGGCTCAGGTAGTCTTCAGTAACAACAGAAAACAGATTAAGACACATTTGAAAGTCAACATTTAAAAGGTAATCTCATATACCTTCATTTCTCTAAAATCAGCTGTCCCTCCTAAAGACACTGCCATAATTGATGGCTAAATGAATAACCTAGATATTACTCTTCATTTATTAACCAGCTTCAAATTCCCACTTAAATTCTGATGATGGGAATTGAACCCAAACCCTAGCATATTCTAGACAAGTGCTCTACCAATGAGCTATATCCCCCAACCCACATCCCATTTATTCTATCTCTCAAATATTTTTCTAATTTGTCAGCTTCATTCCTCACCATTACTCTTTTATATTAGATCCTTCATCTTTTACCTGGACTATTACAACAGCCTCTTAACTGTTCATACTGCTTTCAATCTTACTCCACATCCATCTTACTTTCTAATATAGAAATCTGGTCATGTTTTGCCAAGCTGGAGTAATTTCCATACTTCCCTGTCATTCAAAGAATTAATCCTCTAGTCACTAAATCAACAAATGTTTACTATATAAGTGGAATGATTTAAGGCACTGAGCATATGACAGTGAGTGAAACAACATTTAGAGAAAGAAGTAGTTATTAAACAAAGAATACACTGAAAAATGTACAACTTTAATCTTAGTAAGGTAAAATACCAAATCAAAAAGAAAAAAAAAAAACAGGGCAACTACTCCAGATTGTAGGTCATATTACTTTTGAGAAAGTGTTATCTGAGATTTAAAGGATGAGCAGGAGTGGCTTAACAAAAAAGGAAGTTTTGGTAGAGGGAACTGTATATACAGGGATTTGAGAAGGAAAGGAGATCAGAGTGTTAGAAGAATTGAAAGTAGACTATTTGGCAAGAGTATAGCGAGTGAGGAGAAACTGGCATGAGAAAAGGTTAGGAAGATAGCAGCCAAGTCACAGCTGGCTTGTAAACCAACCCATGGATTTTGTCTGTTTTGAAAGGCTAAAGAAAACAATTAAAGCCTTTTTTTAACGACAGGAGTTTCATTCTGGTTGGTAGAAAATAAATTATGCACTGAGGGGACATGAGATAACCAATGAAGAAATTATTACATTAGTCTGGGAAATAAAGACTGGTGACAGGAACTTTCTTCCACCTCTTACAAGTTATCCACAGATAATATAAGCTTACATTATGAAGTCCTCAGGATTTAAAAGTATTTAATCCTAAACAACAAAGAAGCAGTATGTATTTAATTCATTTAGATGTATTTTCCATCACTAGAATATTTCTGCTCAAATGACTTATTACAAAACTATGTTCATAATGTAGTTTCTACCAAACACATTCAGTATTTGACTTCTTATATCTTCTCTGCCTATATGTCTAAAAGGCATGTTAAACGTTACATGGTATAAAAACCAATGAATCTCTTAATTTCCACTTCTGGGCTAGTTAACCCTAGCAAATAATATCATCATTCACATGCACTGAGTCAAAAAAAATCTGAGTTAAGAAGTTGGAAGTTAAGAAGTTTGGAAACAGTTTGATTTTTCTTTTTCTTTTATTTTCTATATCAGATGTACATTAAGTACCAAATTAAACTGGTTGTAATATTTGGCATGATTACAGCAATTATATGTTTAAACAGAATATGAATGCTATTATTGTATTCTACTTTGAGCACATTTTTCTGTGATTCTATCTTTGTAATAAAAACATAAAGATAAAAGAAGCTTTTATAGTTTTCAAGCTCATTTACTAATTCTTTGATGAGAAAAAAAGAAAAAATTCTATATACTGAGGTTCTTACAAAGAAGTAATTAAAGATCAGAAGCATAGATGTTTTCTAATTTGTTTTAAAATTAGCTTGTGAATATTTTTCTAAAAAAACAGTTCAAATTAGATCTTTCTTTCTTCTTTCTTTCTTCCTTTCTTTTTCTTTCCTTGTCTTCCTTCCTTTTCTCCCTCCTTCCCTCCCTCCCTCCCTCCCTCCCTCCCTTCCTTCCTTCTTTCCTTCCTCTTTCTTTTTCTGTCTCTCTGTCTCTGTCTTTGTCTCTCCCTCCCCCCCCACCCTTGGGGCTTGAACTCAGGGCCAGGGTACTGTCCCTGAGCTTCTTTTGCTCAAGGCTAGCACTCTACCACCTGAGCCACAGCTCCACTTCTGGGTTTTTCTGTTTACGTGGTACTGAGGAATCAGACACAGGACTTCAGTCATGCTAGACAAGCACACTACCACTGCGCCACATTCAAATAGATAATACATCAATATTTAATTTTTCCATTACTGTTGACAAGTGAATACTTGTTTGTATATTTTCAGAGAATCAAATCTAACAGCTTTTGTGCAATTTTTTAAAAGTTAAAGAAATATTTAATTGTTCTTGATCGGTTAATGTTACTAACATTACTTATCATACAATATCATAAAATACTTAGAATATTTTAGAAAATTCTAAGTTGAGATAGCAAATCATATCCTAATTCTAAGTGATTTTAGATGGTCTGGTTTTTCAGTACATCTTCCTTTACCAGTCTCTCTCTGTGATGTGTTGGATCTGTTAGTAATAAAACCTGGTAAGAATCTATTTCACTGAGTCTTCCTCAAGGCTTTGAGGCATATTCTATACTTCTACAGAAATCACAAGTGAAAGTAGAGGCATTTTTCCTTTCTGATTGGTGGCTTTGTGTTTATCTCTGAGCTCACAAGTATATTACTTATAATTAAAGCTATCAGGAGTTTGGCTACCAGATAAGTGCAACATAAAAGGAAGTTGTATCATTATCGTAACACTGTAATAATATGAAATATTTCTATGATCAAATACCTTTCCTAAGTGAGCAACACCCACAATTCTACACAACTTTATAATATATCCTAAAATTAAAGTGGATATTTATATCCATTACAATAGGAAGAAAATTCAAAGTTGATGTAAAAAGTCAAAAGTAGAAATTTGATTACACAAAACTTATTTTGTATAAGTCAAAAGGGCCTTGTGTACACAGAACCAGCTAGGGTAATTTAAACCACAAAACACTGACTATAATATTCAAATGAAATGCTATGAAAAAGTGAAAAAGAACTTGTTTATGCATTGTAATAAAACTATGAATGAATGGGCATAGCGCATCTCTTGTTGCACGCACCCTGTTGCTCGTCAAGTGACATGGATCCGAGCTGTTTGTTAACCACAGAAGGAGGAGAATCTGAAACAAAAATGAGATTTCAACTTAAAAGTAAGCAGCAGAAAACTGCACAGCAATGACATGATCATCTCTTAGCTTAAGAAACAAATGTACAAGGGCAGGGAATAGAAGTAAGTACTTGTGGTATGTTTTCCAAGCAGTGAGTAAGCAGGGTCATGTGCTTGATATGTTATTTCAGGCAAGCTTTTAGCAATTTTGAGAATGAGTTGAGAAAATATTCTACTTCATGCACATACCTTTTATCAAATTCATTTAGCACAGGCACAAGGTGCAAAGAATTAGAAATGGGAGTATTTCCACTAAAAAGAAGACTCCTTGCACTTCTCAAACTCCCTCTCAAGCTCCTTAAGATGGCTCTCATCCTGCCTTGGAGGATTCAAAGCATGAAATGAGATGCTTACTACACTGTGAGATGCTGTTTTTATGCCATGAGCTGAACAAGGAGTCAAAATGTTTAACAAAGAAAATGACTTGTAAGGAAAATATTCAATGAATTAATTACCTTTAGTGAAACACACATAACTTTTAAAATTCTATAGAGTACATATTAAACTATGCTGTGTGAAAGCTTAGGTTTCTTTATAGAGGAACCTGGTGGAGAAAGAAAGAGAGAAGCAAGAAGAAAGCTTAATGGTCTGGGCTTTCTACTTTGGCTTCAAATAGAACAGTTTTGTTTTTATCTTTTGTACATACTAGGCTTCTATAACAGAATTTATTTTACAATTAGCTTCTATTATTTGAACAACACTGGCATAAAAGAAGGCAGCACAATAAAATGCAAAGAGCAGTCCTTTGGAGCTGGTCAGTGTTGGTTCTGATGAGAATCAGACAATACTTTTTAGGTCTAAGCTTCTCCTTTCTTCTTCTTCAAGCTTAGTGATCTAGTAACTTAAGGAAAGCACTAGGGAAGATACAGGTTGAACATCCCTAATAAAAAATCTGAAATTTGAAATGCTCCAAAATCAAAAAATTTTTAGACATACTATGAGTAGAAAATTCTTCAGACAACCTTCTGTGAGAGATAATAATCAAAACACAGGTTCACTAAAACTACTGTATAAAATTACCTTCAAAATTTGTGTATAAGACTTACAGGAAACAAAAATGATTTTTTTTAGACTTGGGTCCCATCCTCAAGATATCATTATGTTTCTACAAACATTCCAAAATCCAAAAGCTCTGAAATACCCCTAGTTCTCAAGCATTTTTGGAAAGAGGTACTGAACCTGTAAAAGCTCCCAATGTTCCACCGTAGAAACAATAAAAGGAAAAACGTGTGTAATAAGCACAGTTCTTCCTCAAGTAACAATTCCTAATTCCTATATTTTATGCTCTTGTTTTTCTTAGTAAGAAATACTTTCAGATGTTCACCAGCTTTGCTCATATGACATTTCATTTCCAGAAAAAAAGGTGTTCTAAGTGAAGACTTACTGTTCTTAACTAACTACATAGCTAAGAGAGATGTTGCAATATATCCAGGATTCACATCAGTTTTATATAATTTGTTCCCATTTGTATATTTAAGAAATCCAAATCCTGCTACTACTACCAACTATAATCAACTTTAAATCTTCTATCTTCTAATATCATACCAGTTTGCTCACATTTTGTCTTCCTAGATTTCTGATAAAGTATGATTACTCTTTGAATAGCTTTTATTTGCCCTTATCATGTGTTCATCAAAACAATCTAGTCTTCATGACACACAAAAAAGCAGGAAAGATGATACTTCAATCAGTTACTTAATCTACACATTTAATTTCCTTTTTGAAACTTCTCATTTATTCATTTCAGAGTTGGATTCAAGACTGCCATCTACTTTGTTTTTGAAGAACAGATAAGTTAGTGTTTAGAAATAAAATTATTCTTCAAAGTAAAAATTATTCAGTAAAATGAATATTAGGAAAAACTTCCTCTAAAAGCATCATAAAATACAATATTTTCCTTTTGTGCTCTCATTTAATCATTAAGAAGCCTAAGACAACTATAAACTCACCAGGAAATCTTTTATTTTTTTCTACAAGTATTATAGAATTTATCAATCTCATTAAAATAAATTATATCTTAATTTCTTAATAAAATTTAGGAAAGGAGTAAGTCTGAAAATACAAAAAGAATCTAGAATCCTTTCCTCTCCACAAAATTGTTTACAGATTTGAAGAACTTAAAATATTTAAAAGTTTATATAAGACAGAAAAGCACTAGTAATTAAAAAGGATTTCATATATAAGACAGAAAAGCACTAGTAATTAAAAAGGATTTCAATCTGCCACAGACATTTCATATTTCTGGGTAATTATTTGTTGTTTCTTACATCAAAAAGTGAAAATGAATGAAGAAATCTCTTTTAGTCACTGCCATTATCTTATTTATAATCTAAGTAGCAATGCAATGTTAAGTGACATACTTTTGTATCACTATTCACAAATACAATGCAACTTCTGTGTTACAGAAGTATTTCCAAACATTAAGAAGATAGTCATCAGAATAACTAAAAGATGTAATTATTAATTAAAACTGTTTCAATTATTTGTATACTCTACTCTCTTTGTAAACTATCTTTTAGAAAGCAGCTGGGCACTGGTGGCTCACGCCTGTAATCCTAGCGACCCAGGAGGCTGAGATCTGAGGACCGTGGTTCAAAGCCAGCCTGGGCAGGAAAGTCTGTGAAACTCTTATCTCCAATAAACCATCCCAGAAAACCGGAAGTGGCACTGTAGCTCAAGTCATAGAGCGCCAGCCTTGAGTTGAAGAGCTGAGAGACAGCGCTCAGGCCCAGAGTTCAAGCCCCACAACCAACCAAAAAAAAAAAAAAAAGAAAAGAAAAAGCACCATCACAAAATAAAAATCTCAATAAAAAATGAAAATTTACTATTAAATGCAATATGGTTAGCTAGCTTATTTAAATATATGTGGAATGTATTATTTTTATTTTTTAGAATATATTATTTTTAAGGTAGATAAACTTTAAGTAAAAGTTCATTCAGTATTACACGTAAGAGTATATTGTGATCAATTGCTATGTATTTCCAAAAATTTGTAGTTAGGTCCTAAGAAAATTATAGACAATTATAGTCTAACAGACAATAAGAACTCTTCAGCCAGACTTCTTGGGTTTGGACATAGAGTTCCATTCGGGAATACTGAAACACTGGGGCAAATTATTTCACTTGTCTAAGTCTCATTCTCTACATCTGTAAAAAGGGGATAATGAGACTATCAACCACACAGTGCCTTTGTAAAAAGACTTAATGAATAAGATAATTCATATAAATTAGCTAGATAGCATATAAGAGTAGATTAATATTACTACTACTTTCCTGTTTCTCAAAACATGGTATTGATTGAAAAATAATGGTACAGAGATCTGAAAACTATGGAGCATATTACAATTTAAAGTTTAAAAAGATATTGTCTTCTTTAAAATTCTGTCAACTCAAGGTAGTTAAGTAGTGCTTGCAGAACTAAGCCAACAGCCTATCTAATTTATTAACTACATATACAAATATGAGTCTAATGTTTTATATCCTAAGAACATGAGTCTAACACACCCTTTAAAAAGTGTCACAAGGCAACCATCATTTTGAACACCAGGGAATCTGATATATACAGCCTGCTTGCATAGGATACAGTTAAATGCTGATTTTTCCAATATGGCTCAGTTTTGAAAAGCCCTTTTTCAAAAATTATCACCAATGTTTATACCCTTTTGGGGTATAAATGCTCCCCTTTTTTTCCAATTGGCAAAACCGTGCCATAAAGAGAAAAAACAGTTCCTACCTGACCCTCTCTAGGCTGGCTCCATGCTCCAGTGGGGCTCTGTGGTGGTCGGGCCAGTACCAGCAGAATCCACAGGGTGCTGTCACTCTGAGCAGGAGCCAGCAACCCATGACTTCAGGGGATCTGAAATGGAAAAAAAGAGCTGGGCTTAAAATCAACCACATGCAGAATGCCTCTGTCATAGTTGTATAGGGCAGTCATTTAATAAATACACATATGGCTCATATGCCCTGAGCATACAACCTTAAAACAGCTTTGACATGAGGACATTCTGCATTGGTAAGGGAAAGATACTGTGAGTAAGATACTTATCTCCTTAAAGTACTAAAAACTGTTATTTGGTATTACCTAGCTCACCCTTATTCCACTTCCAAATTACAGCAGGCTACCATTATTTAAATACATTTAGTTGGGAAATTGAGGGACAGAACAGTTAAGCAAGCCACCTAAGGTCATCTAGACATAAAGTCACTTTGATATCTAGGCAGTGATGTAATGAAAGAAAGCTTACCTTTTGGTGAGTAAAAAATCACAGAGCTGAACATGGTAACACATACCTGTAATCTGAGCACTTAGGAGGCTAAACTCAGGGCCAGCCTGGGTGACATATTGAGTTCAAGGCCAGCCTGGGGTACGAGATTTTTTTCTAAACTGAGTAATTTTGTGTATTATGCATTATGACAATTTCCCTACAGTCTAGAAAATGAGTTATTCTATTCTATACTTTAAAAAAAAACTAAAGCTAAAGCTAACATATTTTGAAAGATTATGAAAATTATACTTTTGGAAATTCATTTTAAAAGATAAGTATTTATAGTTGTCAAAAGCTCTTTTAGAATATGAATTTTTCAAATTAGACCTCCAGGAGCAGAAGAGCCTTGGGGTTACCATAAGCAGCAGGGATCATGACTTTTTAAAAATCTTCCTTCATGTTTAAATAACAAGTGTCACTCGTTCTTTTGTTTGGGGAGGGGAGTGTCACTGCTGAGAATCAAACCCAAGGGTCTTGTATGTGCTAAGCAAGGAGTCCACTACTGAACTACATCCCCAGTCCAGTTAGATATATTTTGAACTGTAACTTCCACATAAGACTGTATTAGTTTCAGGAGTATATTCATGAAAATGCTCACAGTTGAAGGGGTGGAGGAAAACCATTATTTAAAAGTTTTCTAACCTCTCTTTTATTTAACTTACTTGACATAGAAAATTCAGTGTCTTAA